ATGTTTTTACTTTAAAAATTAATTGTTTATATTTTAACTTGTTTTTCTCATTCTGTCAATAAAAAGATGTAGAGTTTTCCATTGTTTTATTGAAGATGTTGCGTAAAGAGGCATTAAAACGAGAAACAACGCACCCCTGCAGATCTTCAAGTGTATCCTTATTTTTTTATACAAAGTGAAGATGTACTGACTACAGGCTTTAATACGAAATAAAAGACACTGAAAAGAAATGAAACAATTAAAGCCCTGTAGATATAACTAGATGCTGTTTTCCATATCTAATGATTGCCTGTGTGATGCTACCCAGTGAGTGAGTACCCTTGCAATAATTACACAGTCCAATCATTAAATAATTTCATTCTAATTTTATCCAATCGTATGTCAAATAATCTTTGACTTTTGATAAACTAACTGAATTGAAGTTTAATTTATTCACTGAAAGAAAGAAAGATATAAATGGTATTCGAGTTGGTTCTAATTAAATTTTAACCTACATACCGTACTGCATCGTCCTATCGTTATTGAACGCGAAGCTCACAAGGAAAGAATTGGAATCCTATCCTATAAGGTAGGTCGATTGGAATCAGTACAAAGTATTTCTGGATATCAAAGTATGTAAAAGTCTAAATCTTGACTTCACTTAAATCCATCAATTCCGGCCAACGAATTTTTAAACTTGCACCAACTATTCTATATTTTCTTGTAAAAAAAGGAATTATCAATAGTGGACGTGAAAGGAAATTAAATTTTAATTTAAACAAAAAATTATCAACTTCATACACTAAACCTATTTTAACTGTTGCAATAACTGACTTTTTTCATTCACAGGAGTCGAGCGGCAAAACACGATGAAGAGACAGCTGGTGTTTGCCTTTGTGTTGTTTCTTCTCAAGCACAAAGTCACCTACGCAACGATGTGGCCGACTCAAGGACATTCAGAGCTCAACGTGTACTTGCAAGGATTCACTCTTGAATCGTCCAAGGTAGAAACAATCTTTGAATGTTACAGAAGGTGTGAGGACAACATACATTGTGCAAGCATCAACATGGACCTGACGAACAAGACATGTGAACTGAAGTACTCTACCAAGACCAGACACCCAGAGAACATTGTTAGTCAACAAAACACCATCTACATGGAGATACGGGATGATAACGCTGCTCCAGGGTCGAGGTCAGATATACCAATCACATCTTGTAAGAAGCTCAAGGAGGATGACAGCCAGGCAAAGTCAGGTGTTTACTGGATGAAGTTCAATGAGACATCCTCTGCGCCATTCCAAGTGTTTTGTGACATGACCACCGATGGAGGAGGCTGGACCCTTGTCTATAACTATCGAATCCTCAAATTAAGCAACTTTGAACACAAGAGTAACGCAGTCAGTCCAATACCAAACTGGCCTGTGGACACGTCTAATGGGAAATGGGTGCCACAGTCAACGACAACCCCGCTCARTGARTCTTCTTACTCGGCCATGAATTATGYTTTGTGGAAGAAGATTGGTAAAGAGTTCCTTCTAAAGCCTAATATCACTAACTGGGTAGCCTGTGTAGAAGGAACTGGAAGTCTTGTGAACTGGGTGGAAGGAAGTGTGACGTGTAGAGTTGTCAAGGCCATTACACCAACCTGTACCACTGTCACTCCAAACATGTTCACAATTCCAATTTGTGGGCCATCTTTATCCTTGAATGATAAAAAATACATTTATTTAGAAGGAAAAACCAACTTCTGCTATCCTGTCCATGATCCTTGTGGTATCAGATCTGCTGGTAATCACCTGACCAATGTAACCAATCCTGGTGGAGCGATTTACATTCGCTGAGAGAAGAGTTATCAGTAAGATACCTCGCACATTGGGTCTGTTCAACAACAGAAGACTAAACATGTATTACTTTTTCCGAGAGTGAAAAAAATACTGGGTGGTAACTTCATTGCAGTGTATTGTGGGACTGTAAGATTTCCAAGATGTTTAGTCCCCTAAATCAGTCTAATCATTAGAAAAACTGCATAATTTTCAACTTTCAACATTTACTTATTTCAACCTGTAATTACTTTTTCTCGTTAACTGTGATCTGTTTTACAATATTTTCCGTCCCTCTATATACATCACTATGTTTGGTATGAATAATGACGTTGTAAAACATTGTAATAAAATAAGATATAAAAAAATTATGTGTTGAGATGTTTAAAAAAAAAATTAGTATCAAATGTCACCATATATACGCTAGTTCTCTGCCGTGACTGTGACGGTCCCGTGACCGAGCATTTTCATTGCGTGAGCGATAATTTGAGGCGCTGTGATTGGTTGAGTTGGTGTAATCAAATCAGTACCATGACAGCCTTCACAGTCCTACGAAATCCAGTTTAAATTATACCAAAAACACGATATTTATTCACAGTATATGCTCACGGCATATTTACTATTATTTACGTCATTTGATGGAGTGAAAAAAAATTCAAGGGCAGGGCAGGTGAAGAAATCTCTTTGCTTTTCGTAGTGGTATGACATGTGGGAAACAATTTAAACATTTATCTCACAACGCCTAATAAAATTTCAAATAATTTGATTACAAAACTACGAATCTTTATGAGGATCTTAATTTTTATAATACGAAAACTCACATTCTCAACTTATTCTTTGTTTGCCCAATATGTTTTTACTCTCAAAATCGCTTCTATCTAACTAGTTTTTTCTCGTTCTGTCTTTAAAGTGTATATGACACGAAAACATTCCATCATTTAAAATGTATAGTTTGTTAGTAATAATAAATATATCGTAACAAAATTTGTTTCAAAAGCTTATTTCTTGAGATATTTGCGAAAGTTAATCCCAATTTGTGACGTCATTTTGTTGACACGTACTCTAGATTCAGTAGTAATGTACTAAATATAAATTGTAATTCATATAAATTAACAACAAAAGACATATTTTAGTCAGCTTCATTTGATAGCTTACGTAGTACTCTTCCAATGTTGGGAAATTGAAAAGTGTACTACTTGAAATTAAGATTCTATATTCAAACATATTTCATGTATTTGCAACTAAATCTGGAGACTTGTAAACAAAATGACGTCACAACTCGTGCTAAAATTTTTTGAATTTCTAGAGAAATACGTTTTTGGAACAAATTTAACCGTGATATTCTTATTAATGCCAATAAACTACACATTCTTAACATTAAAATTTTTTCGTGTCATATACACTTTAAAATGTATAGTTTTCCATTGTTTTATTGAAGATGTTGCGTAGAGAGGCATTGAAACGAGAGACAACGCACCCCTGCAGATCTCCAAGTGTATCGTTATTTTTTTATACAAAGTGATGATGCATTGACTACAGGTTTTAAAACAAAATAAAAGACACTGAAAAGAAATGAAATAAAGCCCTGTAGATATAACTGGATGTGGCAGTTGTTTTCCATATCTAATGATTGCCTGTGTGATGCCTCCCAGTGAGTGAGTACACTTGCAATAATTACACAGTCCAATCATTAAATAATTTCATTCTAATTTTATCCAATCGTATGTCAAATAATCTTTGACTTTTGATAAACCAACTGAATTGAAGTTTAATTTATTCACTGACAGAAAGAAAGATATCAATGTTATTCGAGTTGGTTCTAATTAGATTTTAACCTACATACCGTACTGCATCGTCCAATCTTTATTGAACGCGAAGCTCACAAGGAAAGAATCGGAATCCTATGCTATAAGGTAGGTCGATTGGAATCAGTACAAAGTATTTCTGACTGTTAAAGTCTGTAGTAGTCTAAATCTTGACTCACTCTTCCATCCATCAAATCATCATCGAATTCAACGGATTCTCTTCATTCAAGTATTTACTACAAGTATTTCTGGCTATCAAAGTCGGTAGAAGTCTAAATCTCAGCTGACTTCTCTTCATCAGTCAATTCACAAACGAATTTAACGGGTTCCCTTCAATCCACCAAATCACCAACTGACGAATTTAACTTGTATCAAATATTCTATATTTTATAAACTTGGAATTTTCGATGGAGGACATCAAACGAAATTAAATCTTAATTCAAAAATTTAGTTCCTCATCTTCATACACTTTTTTTTCTAATGGCCGTAAACGTAAAAACGTGATAAATTCTGTTAAAGATTTTGGGGTTGCAATTTCTAACTTTCTTAAGCTTTCTTCATTCGCAGAAGTCGAGTGGCAAAACACGATGAGGAGACAGCTGGCGTTTGCCTTTGTGTTGTTTCTTCTCAAGCACAAAGTCATCTACGCTACGATGTGGCCGACTCAAGGATATTCAGAGCTCAACGTGTACTTGCAAGGATTCACTCTTGAATCGTCCAAGGTAGAAACAATCTTTGAATGTTACAGAAAGTGTGACGACAACATCCATTTTGCAAGCATCAACATGAACCTGATGAACAAGACATGTGAACTAAAGTACTCTACCAAGACCAGACACCCAGAGAACATTGTTAGCCAACAAAACACCATCTACATGGAGATACGGGATGACCCTGCTCCAGGTTCGAGGCCAGATATACCAATCACATCTTGTAAGAAGCTCAAGGAGGATGACAGCCAGGCAAAGTCAGGTGTTTACTGGATGAAGTTCAATGAGACATCCTCTGCGCCATTCCAAGTGTTCTGTGACATGACCACCAATGGAGGAGGCTGGACACTTGTCTACAGCTATACATTTACTCAGTACAGTAATTTTAGATCGTGGTCAAACGCAGTCAGTCCAATACCAAACTGGCCTGTGAACACGTCTTCTGGGGCCTGGGTGTCACAGTCAACGACAACCCCGCTCAGTGAGTCTTCTTACTCGGCCATGGATTTTGCTTTGTGGAAGAAGATTGGTAACGAGTTTCTTCTAAAGCCTAATATCACTAACTGGGTAGCCTGTGTAGACGGAACTGGAAGTCTTGTGAACTGGGTGCAAGGAAGTCTGACCTGTAGAGTTGTCAAGGCCATTACACCAACCTGTATCACTGTCACTCCAAACATTATGAAAACTTATTCATCTTGTGGGCCAAGTTTATTCTTTAATACAGACTACTACATTTTTTTAGAAGGAACAACTGCCAAGTGCTTTCCTGTCCATGATCCTTGTGGTACCAGATCTCCTGGTAATCACCTGACCAATGTAGACAATCCTGGTGGAGCGATTTACATTCGCTGAGAGATACCTCACATATGGAATGTGTTCAGCCACAGAAGGCTAAACATGTATTACGCTCTCCGAGAGTGACAAAAACTGGGTGGTAACTTACCAACTTCATTRAACTTCATTGCAGTGTATTGTGGGACTGTAAGATTTTCAAGATGTTTAGTTCCCTAAATCAGTCTCACAATGCACTGCAGTGCCAACTCGACCCAATTTTTTCCTTAACCTTGCAATGCCTAATTAGCTACACAAATATCATAACGTAGCTTAGTTTATATTGAAGATCTTTCAAGATTTACATATCATTCGGGACTTGATGATACGATAGTAAAAAAAATTCTGAACTGATTGAAATAGCACTATTTGAGTGACTTGAAATGAACCTGGCAAGCCTATAACTGATGAGTCTATTCTCATCATTACGAAARGAAAGTTAGCTTGGTACGTAACAAATGTTCTTATTGTACAGATAAAAAAATGACACTTGAGAGAACTTCTTCTATCTTTGTGCTTACTAATTGTGCTTACAAATCTTTTGGAAACAGTACGCAGGACTTTTTTTTCAAAAACCTACCTTAAACTTCCATTATGTTATGGTAAGACTAAGTCGAGGATGGAAGATGGAGAAAAATCAACGTGTTCGTTTCTTCTCAAGAAATCTCACAGATTTGACGATAATTGRAATGAAATGATTATGACGTCAAGAGCGTCAGCACTCGTGCCCAGGATACCTCGGACGCGCGGTCGGCCTAGGCCATCTTGAGAGGTAGCCGTGCCTTTGCATCGAAGCGAGACGAACGGTGTGAGCTTGTCCAAGGTATTAAAAAAACGTTTCTACCATTGCAAGCTCACCGTTCGTGTTGCACTTGCACTTGCACGGCATATCAAGTTTTGCTCCATGCATTAGTGTCAAAGTTGGAGTTGAGAAAGGTCACTCCATAATGGAATCATATAATTCTATATTTGGATTGCGGGTCTTTACCCTGAGGTCAAAGATGATGCCGGACAAGAGGGTTCATCGGCTGGCGAAACGGCTGAGCGGCATTTACGAGCTTGGCGAAGACGAAAAACAAGAAAGAACTACAAAAAAAAAACGAAAAAAAAAAAAAAAGCTTCTCCCCAGTCCCTTTTTTAAGACCGGGAAAGAGAGCTTTGACACTCATTGCTTGATATGCTATATACCTTTAATAAGATGGCGCAGGAAACTGTTAAACCGGGAATATTATTTGTTGAAAAAACTGCGACTAGTTATTTCTACAGGGTTTTATTTCATTTCTGTTTGAGTCTTTTAGTTTTTATAGT